GAAGCAGCAGAAGCAATAGCTTTCTCAGGTCATCATAACCGCCACAAACTGAGTACTTGGAACTGAGAAGTCCCCACACAGCAGGTTTATCATATCGAAGAAAGGGATGGGAGTGGGAGATTCAAGAGCTTTTTTAATTAATAATACAATTCAAGAAGTAATTGGGAATGAATCATGTACCCTCTTGTGTCCGTACTAGGAATTCACATAGTAGTGAGAAGGAGAGTCCACATTCTACTGTCTTCAATGCCTGTTTCTTGCTAGGCCACAGCTATAGGCATATCACCACATATTACATTTCATTGTAAGAGTAAACTAAATATTTCAAAACAAACTGCACGCTATTTTTCTCTGCTCTGTTTTCTGTTACTCTGCATTTACCTTATCTTGAAAGGTAAGGTTTTATTTATCCATCCAAGTCTACTGGGACCAACTCTTTCAGATGTGGGTAGTGGGCTTATATAAGTTAGGGGTAGCCAAGGGCTTCCTGGTTACCACTGGGGGGGGGGGACTGAACTCTCCTTGTAGGAGAAGCTTTCTCCAGACAGCAAGTCCTTCGGGAAGTACCCGAAGAGCCTCAGTCATTTCTATCACTCATCTCTAGCTCTGTCGAGTGTTTTTAGTCTCCCCTTGGTCCTCGTGTGTGCCCCTTACCACCCAGTACTGGATAATTTCTGCAGGGGTGTGTACATGCAGCTGCTGCCTCGAAAGGATCGGAACCTGCAAAAGCCTCCTGTGCATTGGTACATTTGATAGCATAAGGTGTCAAAGACGCAAGAGGGACAGCGGCAGGACTCGGTAGAACGCTCAGAGAGGGCTCTTCTGTTTGCCAGGAAGCAGCTGAAAGGTGATACTCAAGTGTGAAGCTTGCAGAACGAGAGCCCCTTTCACAGAAATAGATGAAGATCGTGTGTAGTAGAAAAGGATCACCGAGGAGCGAGAGGAGGTCCCCGTTACATGCACACTTTTTGACTCGACTATCATGACCATCTATGGCTTGTCACCACAGGTGGGCCATAGACAGCAGAGCGAACAGGGTGCTAGCATGGGCCTCAGTGGTCTGCACTCAGGGCTGAGGGTTTTTCCAGTTCCACCCCTCCACAGTGGACTTTGAGGCTTTGCTATTCCGGCAGCCAAGGGGAAGCCGTAGATGGACGACAGAAGTAGCACTGTTCTTCCCCGGCCACGGATGGCTGACCACACTCTGCTTTCTTTGTGCGTTAGTGTCCCACTAATCAGGGCCTGGAGAACTGTCAGGATTTCAGAGGATGCTAGAGGAAACTTGTCCCCTGGCTTCCATGCCCAAGGAAGATGAAGGGGGCAAGAAGGATTGTAGAGGACAGAGTGCTGTGGGGCATGGGCAGAGGCTGCTGGGACTTCATGTGTTTGTACCCCAGTAGTGCCCTGCTGTGTAACCATGTGTGCACAGTGGAGATGCCCTCCTGGGGCTGCCAGTTTTCACATCATGAATGCTGTAGCCTGGGGGGGAGATGCACACCGGAGGGTGAGTGTGATGCACATTGGGAATGGGTGGTGCCCTGGGAATAGCACAGACTACCTTATCTTCAGAGAAAGCCTGGGTGAAAAGGGAAAAGCAAATTGCGCTGTGTGAGGGCAGACAAAAGGTTTCCAGGAATAGTTCCCTGAGTAATCTTTCTTGAGAAGCAACACATTCATGCACACAGTTCGATGTTCAAGTACTTTTTCTAAAAGTCTTTCAAATTAAGAACATCTCAAGCACTAGTACCATGGATGCCCCTCCTCTTTTTCCAAAGACCGCTGTAAGCCCAGGCCCCTCCCCTTCCTTCTGCTGCTGTGGAGCTGATGATGGTGTTTATTAGGGCAACCAGCTGGAGCCAGGGTGTTCTCACAGTAGATTTATTTGTGCGTTGGGCAGGCAGAAGCATCAGATGTTTGGTCTCCCAGCCTTTTGCTATCTCTTTGCTATTTGTTTGCCAATGTCCCTCCTATAGGTTGTTGCATCTTTCACACTGTTGGCTCAGACGGTCACGCCACTCACCCGTTCTTCTGCTCAAGGTGAGCTGACTTCTTGGAGTAGCTCTGCCAGCCGACTGGCTGCAGGCTGCCCCAGGCAGAGGTAGCAGTGTGACTGCTCTTCCACTGTGACATTAACCAAAGTGTGCCTCTTGCCTTAGGAAATGTTGCTTGCTATCATGCATATGGAAAGCATGCTTGAGCCAAGTGTGGTGACGCATTCCTGTGACCCCAAAACTTGGAAGGCGGATTGTCAGTTGGAGCCTAACCTGGTCTATATAGCAAGACCCTATCTCATTAAACCTAATACATAAACAAATGAATAAATAAATAAGCTTTTTATATTTAAAATATTTCATGATAGATTTTTGAAATTCTCTTTGGAAAGTTACCTTTTAAATGATGAGTCTGATACAACCTGAGTGAGTACTGTGTTTTGAAATGACAACCTTCCTACTTTGTAAACCAGATAACAAATACCTTTGTGGTCCAGGAGACAGGGTCTCGGAGGATATAAAAGCTGAAACAAAACAGACCCTGTATGAAGCATCTGGGAGATCTGGCTGGAAAGCCCCTTAGATGAACAGGTGAAATCCAGGCTTCTCCCTCAGGTGAAGCTTCCCTTGGGCAGGAGGACATGGGCTGTGCCAACTTAGAACAGTTGGGGCTGTAGAAATCTCTAGGAGCTGGAGGCTGCCTGCCAGGTCCTCACGGCGCTTGTGTGTCTGTGGAGCCAGAGCTGTGCTTTCCTTAACCAGTGCCAGGTGTGATTCTGGAAAGGATTGGAACACAGCCTCGGTGCTAATTGAAGAAGCTGTGGGCTGGAGGCACCACCCCTGAGCAGAGGATCAAAGATAAAACTCTGAAGGCAGAGGCCAATCACAGTACTGAAGTAAATGAAGACTTGCAGTCCAGGGGGATGTCAGAGCTGAAGGGGCCTTGGAACTTGGTGAACAAGGTTTAGGAGAAAGACAGCAAAGGAGAGAGAATAAATAAATTAGAAGCACACTGAGAGCTAGAACCGCTCTAACTTCTAGTCCTAAGTCTGTATTCACACACATTCATAGACATCCAGTGTGCGCCTGGATGACCAGGCGCAGTTGCTGGCCCTGGGTCTGGGTTTGCTGACTCAGAGAGCAGAGCTCTTCACATACTGAGGTCTTCCACCCAGATCTCAGGCTGTAGGTCCCGTCTGGCGTCAGACGGAGGCTAGGCTGCACCCAGAGATTCCGGAGATAAAATACCAAGCTTCCTCCAAGATCTGAAAGAAGACAGTAAGTCACAGAAGAGTAGCCAAACTGGTTTCTGTGATTAAACCCCCAGATACTAGCACTACTTAGCATGCGAGAAGCTTAGGACTTTGGTAATTTGTGTTGACCTTCAGCCAAGGGAGTTACAAGAAACATAAACTATTAATAATGGAAATAGTTTTCCTCCTGTATCTGCTGAATATATCAAGACAGGAGAAGCTGGGGAGTGGTGGGGCTGGGCTGAGATAGGAAAGGCAGGGAGTGAGGGTAGAGCAAGCCATGATCAAAGACAGATGGAGTCAACAAGAAGGAGAACGGCCAGATGCCAACCCCTGGGCACACAGATGCTGAAACAGGACTGAATGAGGCCTTTCATTCTACCTGATGGAAGGCTGTCCAGGACCCATTTGCACCAAGTAACTTATGTTTTGCCCAGATGAGTCCTGTTTCAGAAGGTTCTGCCACTTCTGGGGAAGTTCAGCAACTAAAGAATCTTCAGCAGCCTGGGCTTGGAAATCCTTCTGCTGATGATGGGAGGAGCTGGTGCTTACATCGCAAGATTCCCCTTACTACCACTTATAAAGTCACTTTAGAAGGCTAGGGAGGCCGTTACTACTTCCTTTCTGCAAATGACGCAACTAAAGAATGAGCTTGTCCTCCTCACATAGCTAGCCAACAGTGCAGCTAGGTCTGATGCATTATTGTCTTCCAACTACAAGGTAGTCAGTCCTCTTTCTTACCATGTAATGCTGCTGTTCCTATGCTAGGAAGGAAGAGAGGGAGGGAGGGAGGAAGGGAGGGAGGGAGGGAGGGAGGGAGGGAGGGAGGGAGGGAGGGAGGGAGGAAGGGAGGGAGGGAGGGAGGGAGGGAGGGAGGGAGGGAGGGAGGGAGGAAGGAAGGAAGGAAGGAAGGAAGGAAGGAAGGAAGGAAGGAAGGAAGATAGATTTCTGCTTGTCTGGGGCAGCACATCTTGAGAACATGTTGCCTGGCTCCTGGGCTTGAAACAGAAAAAAAAAAAAAAAAAGATGCTGGGAAGCCACATTCTACTGAGCTTTAGGCACCGGGTTTATTTGAGCGGCCCAGAAAGCATGGGGATGTGTTTGGGTTGTGTTTCTACTTAACTAATTCTAAATTCTGCCACAAAGAATGTGCATTAGTGATAACAATAGCCATCTCAATATACAAGAATTAGCAGAAAAAGAAGAAATAAATTCATATTGCAACTTTATTGGGGGCAAGAGAGATAGCTCAGTGGATAAGAGCACATAGTGTTCTTGTAGAGAACCCATTTTTTCCCAGCATACATGTATGGCTCACAACTACCTCCAACTCCAGCTCCGGGGAAATCACACATCCTCTTCTGGCTTCCACGAGCAGCTACACACACAAATACACATAATTAACTTTTTTTAATTAAGTTCAGTAGAAACTGGGCATGGTAGCATATACCTGCAATGTCAGCAGAGGTAGGAAGATCATGAAATCAAGGTTAGCCTGGGCTGGACAGCAAGACCTTATCACAAAACAAAACAAAATAACAAAGTTTGCAAGGTGTTCTCTGTCCTTTGAACCCCAGGGGTGTCTATTCAGTCTGGCTATTCTGTCCTTGCCTGGGTGGCCCCACCCCTCTCAGGGCTGCAGAATGTTCAGAGGGGGGTGGCCCCAGCTGTGCCTTTTCCGGGGGATTCTGTCCTCCTGGGCAGTGTGGTGGTGGGCGGCGCTCCCTGACCTTCTTCTGCTCCCCGCACCTTCTAGAGCTGCCAACTTCAGGAACTTCACCTTCATCCAGCTGAATGGAGAATTTTCCCGGGGGAAGGGACTGGACGTCGGAGCCCGCTTCTGGAAGGGAAGCAATGTCCTGCTCTTTTTCTGTGACGTGGACATCTACTTCACCTCCGAGTTCCTCAACACGTGCAGGCTGAACACACAGCCAGGTTTGTGGTGTCTCTTTCTTACCTCTTGCGGGGGCCCCTCTCTCTTTCCCTCAGGCTCTGCTGTCTGCACAGTCCCCTCTGCCATTCTGCTGAGGGGTCAGAACCACTTCCCTTCCAGTCGCAAGGAAGGTGACCTTGTTCAACACGTCCTCGGGTGCTGTGCAGCAGGCATGCCAGTCACTCTGACTCTGGGACCGTCTTGAGCCCCTGTGCAGAACCCCTTTCTGTTCCCCCTGGGAGGGCCGATGAATGTGACATCCACAGGAGACAGTGGGCCAGAAGACATGGGCCTGGGAAAGCCATTCAAATATGAAAGGAAAAAAATTAGCTATGGGCCGTTTGCAAGGCCACGGCTGGAAGAAACCCCACATACACAAACAATATCTGTGGAGTGAGGCACAGCTGATAGACAGCTAAGAGTCCTGGTGTGGACATTTGGTGTTAAAATATGGCAAAGGGCAGCTGTTCTGAGCCCTCTACTGCCCAGGATCTCCTTGCCTTCCTTTGCAAGTCTTTAAGGTTGTGCCCTTCAAGGGCTTTTTGCATGCAGGACAGGGACACTGGGACCCTCTTCCATTGTTTCGGGGAATGAAATTCCAGCCACTGGTTGTCAATGACTTGTGTATTGTTCTCATCCTGGGAGGACAGAAAGGTTTGAGAATCAGACTACCTAGTCTAGCTGGTGCAATATTTCTAAGATCTAGACTAGAATTGAGTGAAGGGAGAAGAAAAGAATGGGCGAAAATGCCTGGGCCGATGGCTGACCGCATACAACAAGGCCGGCCGTGAAGCGAGTCTCTTGTAAGCTGCTGTTTGCTTTCTGGTTTGCAGGGAAGAAGGTATTTTATCCGGTTCTTTTCAGCCAGTATAACCCTGGCATAATCTACGGTCATCAGGATGCAGTCCCACCCCTGGAGCAGCAGCTGGTGAGTAATTACTCTGCAGATGCCCGTGGGTGGTGTTCCATGTCGCTCATTGCTGGGGCACCTGACCGTGAGGAAAGGTGAGCGGGATCCGCAGACCAAGCCCCACAGTGGTTTTTAAGTTAGGCAGATGCTCTGGCCTTTGCTCCAAAGTGCCATGTTGATTAAAAGTGCTTGCAATATTTAAAAGTGGAAATAAATAGGAACCATATCTTATGAGAGGGTAATTTCACACCTTCCTAGTTTTCTTCTATGGTTTTAGGAATTGCTATTATTGGATTACAGCTAGAGCATACTTTTTCTTTATCATTACAAAATCTAGCAAGAAAAGTGAGGCTGGTACTAAACTAAGATTAAGAAATGGGAACACCTAAAATAGTGGGAAATGGGTGATAGAAAGGGGTGACTTACCCCATGGTGGCAGTGAGTCAGTGGGGAACAAGGACCCATCCTGTCCCCTGGCCCTTCACTCATCCCATCGTATCCCACTGCATCACCACTGCTACCCTTCCCTGTATTGGGGCAGATGTTGGCATCAGTGGTGGCACCAGAAAGGTAGCTTTCGAAGAAACAGTAGAGGGGCTTCTCTGCTAGGATCTTGGCTGCACAAGTGAGAGGTCGTGGAACCACAGAGCCCCTAGGGCCTGTTCAATCTCTCGTCACCACAGACGCTGAAGCAGACCGGAAAATGGGAACTGAGGCAATCCAGGAGAGTATCCCCGCACCCCTCCAAGGCTGTTGGAATAGTACCCTTTGCCCATGTGGAGTATGCTCCAAGACCCTCACCGGATGCCTGGGATAAGGAATAATACCAAGCCATAAATAACACCAAGCCCTGTCCATAGTGTGGCTTTCTTTATACTTCCACCCATGGTACCATTAGTTATAAATTAGCAATGAGAGACTAACAACAATGACCAATGATAATATAGAACCCAACAATATCCTAAAATAAGCGTTATGTAAAACACAACTTACTCCTTTCTGGAATTATCCATTTAGTGTTTTCAGACCTAAGCTGATAGCAGTAACTAAAGTCGTGGAGTGTATGTGGTAGGTAATACATGTGGCTGCCTGGGCACAGAACAGACCCTCCTCTCACACCACTCAGGGTGATCTTTCCATCAGTGAGAGTATTTTGGACATCTCTGCCTCTTGTTAGCAAGCCTGGAAATGGGATGTAGACATACAGATGCGATGGGACGAAGTCTCCTCATGCCCCATGTCATGGGAGAACAGTGCTCTGCAAAGTTCACTGGAGTAGCTGACGGTGATAAGTTTTCATAAGTAACAGAACCCGTTCCCTCCAGGCTTGACCCATGCCCTTCACCCTCCCCCAGGTCACCTCTGACAGCTGATGTGATTCTTCTGGAGAACACTGAAGCTGTGGGTGTTTTCGGAATGGAGGATGTTCATGGCCCATGCTTGTCCGAGCATGATTTTTGTGGGCTTAAGCCAGAAAGTACATAAACAGTCCCCTCTCCTTCCGTCGGATTTTAACATGGCAGATGTAGTGCATTACTGTCTACATCTCTATCTGGGATTTGTAGATGAAAACAATACAGTTCCACAGTCACCCACCAGTTTTCTACCCATGAGAGATAAGTCTCCTGTGAGGACAGAGGCTTCTGGCTCCCCTTCCCAGGAGTTGTAAGCTTCTCATGGAAGGATGTTAAAGGAAAAGGGACCAAGTATTTGTTTTCTTTCAACCAATGAGAATAAAAATTCCTTTGATTTTAAATAACGCTCTGTTTTACATTTGACATTGGAAATGATTAATGTTTCTAGTTCAAATTCATAAAAGCCCTATTTGCTAGCAAGGACTTCTTTTCATTTCATAATCTAAAGGTTCTGTCCTTTCTAGTTCATCCTGCTGAGAGCAGGTAGGATGGGAGGCAGAGAGACAGATAGCACAGAAGCAGGTCTGTCAGACTCACAGAATAAGCAGTCCCGGTGGGAAGAGCTCAGATCCCTCAGATCCCAGAGGCCACAGTTAGAAGCTGGACCACCCTGCATCCTTCGAGATTTGCTTCCTAAAGCATCATTGACCTCTCCTCCAGCACATAAAGCTGCTGTTTCAGAGTTCATTATTTACAATTATTTAGTTCAGTGAAATACAGCGATTTCAAGGTTTCCCCAGACCCCAGAGAAATGCAGAATTGTGTCCTTCATTAGACAAGTCACTTATTTTATTTTATTTTTACTTATGTATGTAAAGTCAATCAAGGGTATGAGATCTCTTGAAGCTGAAGTTACATCTAATACAGGTGCTGGAAACCAAGCTCAGGTCCTCTGCAAGAACAGACAGACCGCTTAGCCCTGGAGCCATGTGTACCATCCCAAGACAAATTGAAACTTGATCATTTGCTGCCCACAGAGGTCTGCTCCAGGTCCTGTTACTAGAATCAGAAGAACCATGATTGTTTCATACAGTCAGGCCTGATTGATCAGAGATCCCTCAACCAACCACTCTTCACGGAGACTGAATGAATGGTCCAAGGCTGCAGTCAGGAGCTAGGGAGATGGCTCAGGAAATAAAGAGCTTGCTGTGCAAGCTTGAGAACCTGAGTCCAGGTCCCCACCCCATCCCAGACATGAAACCCCCAGCACCGGGAGAGTGATGGAGACAGGTAGATTCCAAAAGGAGAGGTTGGACAGTCACTAGCCAGAAAGTCTAGCCAAACTGTCAGCTCCAGGTTCCTTAGAGACATTGTCTCAAAAAATAATGTGAAGAGTGACAGAGAAAGACACCCAAAGTTAACCTCTGGCCTCTACCCAGGCACAGGTGAGCACCCATACATAAATGTGCAGGCACAGGTGCACACCAGCACCCACATGCATGTACACACACACACACACACACACACACACACACACACACACACACACATGCACACATGCACACTTTTGAGCCCCAAATTAAGATTGAAAGATGTCTGAGTGACAAAGCTTAGCCCACACTAAGGTGTCCCTCCTCTTGAGCAATGGGGTTAGATCTGCCAAGCATCCCCAAGAGAGCTGAGGCATAAAGAAAATGGCCTAACAAGAATTCTAGAGGCAAAGATCAAACTACAGAAATTAATACAGTAGGGACAGAATGTGTAGGTGGCAAAACACCAGAAAATAAAAAGTAATGGCTGGAGATGGGTAAATTAGGAGAGATTTCCCCCGAGATTGCATTTTGGCTCAGTCTAGACTGTGTATATATTAACCAATCCTTCATAGCCCTCCCTGGGACACAGCAGGACCTCAGGTGAGGTGGGGAATGTAGGTTCAGAATGGAGCTGTAATGAAGGTTACCTGTGCAAATGAGATGACGTTTCCCAGCAGCCCCGCAAACACAGCCTCCTGTTCAATGTTTCAGGGATGAGTTTCCATGCCTATCATGTCCTGGCGTTTCCATTTTGCCTGCAGATGAAAGCAAGGATTTCGGTGTGTGTTCAGATGACTTCTTATTTACTTAACCCCTGCATACAAATCATTAGTAATAAGTGACACTGTGGGATTTTCGTGCTGATATTTCATTTTTGAGTTTTAAGCCATGAAACTTGCTGGTGCCTTAATGCAGAACAGCAGACAGAGAAGGGAATGACTGTAATTTAAATCAATGTTCACTTTAAACATTCTACCTTGCTGGCTCAGCCTGTTAGTCTATGCTGAGATCCCTGCAGAAGCCTCCTACTTCTCCTATCTTTAGATTCGGACCCTCCCCACACTCCAGTCTTTCCTCACCCTCTGCCAGAGACTGGTTTTGAAAAAACAAATTAATTCCACTTTTTTTTTTAAAGTGTTTATGGCATAAAGCCAGTGGCATGCTTGCAAATGTTTAACAATCCACTCTTGGAAAGAAGAAGAAAGAAAAAAAAAGCCCTGGTGATGGTGTTCGCCAATTTCTATGGTGTAAATAATCCCACTGTGGCTTATTTTGGACTCACCAGTGTGTTACCACAGGGCATGCAGCTGGGAAGAGATGTATGCAAATCTGGTGAGCCAGGTTAGACTGTCTCAAGCACAGGGCTGCAAACTCTGATTTCTTGTCGGGACTAATTGTTCTCCATAAACCAACCCAACCTGGTTGCAAAGAAGATGTCAGCTAATCCCAGCACCCGGCCGATGACACCAGCTCCATCGCTACCCCAGGCAGCCTGTCGTCATCATACAGCACAGCTGCTCACAGTCTCCAAGTGCTGTCCTGTTCCTCCAGGCCGCCACCTTCCCAGTTTTAGTCTCTCGGCGTTCGATGCAGACTGCGATGTCCGCCGTGCAGTGACACTCGTGGCTTGGGGACACTGTTGAGTGTCTGTGACTGTGCTTCTCACTGCCCTCGTCCTCTCTTGATTACACCTGCGCTGCTTTACCTGCCTCAAGTAGTTTGTGTGTGTGAACCTGGAGGCTGATAGCAAGTGTCTTCCTTAATCCTCCCTAATTATTCTTTTTACGATTTCATACATGTATTAATGTATCCAGGTCCTTTTTCCTTCCTGTTACCCTCTTATGTTATTCTTATTCCCTGTGGGTCCCCGCTTCTTCCCCGCACCTTATTATTTGAGACAGGGTCTCTCTCTCTTTCTCTCCCTCCCTCCTCCCTCCCCCTCCCCCTTCTCTCCCTTCCTCTCTTCTTTTCCTCCTTCTTCCCTTCTCCACCAAGCTCTGACTATGTAGCTCCCTGATCTATCTATTCTGCCTGGACAATGAACAGTAGGGACACACACTGCGCTGCACCTAGCTTTTTATGTGAGTTCTAGGGATCTGAACACTGGACTCCACACTTGTGACGTAATCACCTTACCAAGAAGCCATTTCTCAGCTCCTCAATCAGTTGAGCTCTTTTATTTGGCAGTTGGACTTACTGAGCATTTTAACCACTGACATGTGCTCCAGTTTTTAGCGCTGTCTGACGAGCATAGTATATGCAGTGTACCCTGGCAGACTGGTTCTGTTTATGCGGAAAACATATACTTACTAAGTAACGAAAGTAACTGGAGAATCCTTCACTGTGACTATGCAGTCTTCCATAATTCTCAGCAGGGTAAGTGGCATCAACATCTCGGTTCACACATGCAGAAGTCCAGGTTCAGAGGGCACAAGTTCACTAGCTGCAATTCCTGCAGCTGCCGACTGGGAGAGGGATAGATGTGAGTGCCACACTATGAGGCTAAGCTTGACTGAGGATGATGAGCTGAAGGAACTGTATCCTTTGGCTTCAGTGTGCTTCAAGGAGGACCAAGATTCTAGATCCCAGAAATGAAAGACTTAGTGGGTCTGTGTCCAGCGTGAACCCCTTAGAAGACACTGTCATCCTTTATCCAGAAACTAATAAGATGTGTGAAAATGAGACTATGTGGAGATATAGAAGGAGATGAGATTTGAGCCCATTATTAAATAAATTCTGGGGCCCTGTGGCTCCAGAATACATTATTTCTTAAGAAATTAAACCAGGATCTTCATGGGAATCCTAGCCCCGAGCTCTGTTGCAGCAGGCTGAGTGAACTTCAGCAAATCACTCTGCCTCCATTTGCAGAGGTCTCAAGAAGAGGGCACATGGCCTTCCCCCTGAGAACCCTCTGCATTGTGATCACCAGCCTTCAGTTCCCAAATAATAAAGAGTCAGACCCAGAAATTGCTGCAATTCAGTGTATCTAGTACTCATGGGCAGGGTTTGTTATATCAGTAGAGTATCTCAGAACAAAACCAAAACGCAGACCCTTGTTCCAAAAGTGTTCAGAATTTAAAGACAGCTGCAATAAGCGTGGGGCTCTGAGTTTGCGGGCCACATGCTTGTGAACATGCCCAGCTCCTAAGCATTCCTAGGACATAGAAGGCTGATCAGATCTAGCTTCGGTTCTAGGGAGACACTCTTTGATTCAGAGAGAATAGTCTGTCCAAAGTCTTTGCTACCAACTTAATTTTAAGATCCAGATTACTTCATAGGCATCTGTCCAACCCACCACCATTAAATCAGACAGACAACTGCCTGGGCTCCAGGCTGCTGTGCAGCTGTGAGGCCACTGTGTTCCCCTCAACTCTAGAGGGAGTTGCTGATTTGTGTTTTGATCCTAATAAAAAATAAATAGCCCCTGTCACATGACTGGCTCACAAATCTGCGATTCTAGAAACTTCCTTGGGAGATCCCAGCCTGAAACCCAGGAGAACATGGCATACTTGGTCCCACAGTCTTTTGCAAACCTCTGTGGAGTAGGAAGGTGCTACAGAAAGAGTGGACAGGAGGCTGGCACCGAAGGTCAACTTGAAAGTGACAGTGGCGCCTGTCGATAGATTGAGGGAATTTAGAAATAGAGGAAGAGGTCAGGAACTTTTAAGTTTTAGTCTTTATCCCGTGGTAGAGCCATTGGAGTATATATTTGAACACTTGTGCAGAATGGTGGGACTCCTTGTGCCTGTCTCAATGTGTACGAGCCACACTTGGTGCCTTAGGCCTCAAGAGCATGAGGACATTTTTGCCTGTTGGTCTCAATCCACGCCATCCTGACAGTTGTCCCCACCGGTCCACCTAGGCTTTTGCTGAGGTTCTTGCTGACAAGTGTCTCTCACTTGAAGCATGTTTGTCTCCACAGGCTAGGAGCCATGGTTACCTCAGAACTGTTCCTCCTCCATCCACTAAGGAAGTATCTACTAATTGCACAGCTGTGTGGTGAGCAGTGTTCTGGGTGCTGGCGACACAGGGGACTAGGATTCTGGCTGAAATCCCCCAAGGGTGATAGTTGAAGACCACAAACTGAGAAACAAATATACCCATGGGATCATTTCACTGCTAGTGTTATAAGGAAGTTGAGCCAGGGTCACAGTACAGAGGGGAAATGAGGACTGGCAATTGTACGGCATTGGCCAGAGGAGGCAGACAAGAGGCTGGCACCCTGAGCAATGACGAGTAAGAGAAGGGTGACATAAATAACCTTTGCACTATTGAATTTGGGCATACAAGAAGTCTTTCTTCTTGTTAAGAAAGTTAAGATTCATTAATTGTTTTGCAAGACATTTATCAAATATAATTTAGGCTGTGGGAAGGTTCTAGAACACGGAATAACGGTGGTGTAATAAATGAGCTAGAAGACTCTCCAGCTGGGATTTAGCTCAACTCTTCGTTGTATAGAAAAGGAAATGGGGGCTTGAAATCAGGAGGCCAGCCTGAGGTGGAACGAGTGGCCAGTGGCGCAGCTGATCCCCTCCCTTTCTCCTGAGCTGGTAGAGATGAGCAGCCAACAGAGCCAGGCTTCAGTCATAGGGACTCCCCTAGGCCCTCTGTTTCCCTCTCCCCGGGAGGCGACTTCCTGTCTTCTAAGCACCTATGGAGATGGCAAAGATCATGGGGGAAAAGGAGCTAAAAGGATTTCAAACCCATTTCCAGACTTACTTATGACAAATCTGTGTGTGCATATATGTGTGTGTGCATGTGCCTCTGTGTGTGCCTGTGTGTATGAGAATTCATGTATGTGTGCATGTGCGTGTGTGTGTGTGTGTGTGCATGTGTGTGTGTGCACGTGTGCATGTGTGTGTGTGTGTGTGTGTGTGTGCGCGCGCGCGCACATGCTGATCTCTATTATTTTTTAAGTTTTGTTGCCTCAGCAAATTGGTAATTTTCTCCAAGGAAAGAAACCGAGCAGTAGTGTGTTGCCCTGATTTTTTTCAGCAACCGGTTGGCCGGCCTCTCGGCCACCCTGCAGGCTGGCACATCCAGCAGGAGCTTCCTGGAGCAGCTTCTTCCTTTATAGACCTACCCTCTCCTCAGCCAGCCGGAGGGAGCAGGGCCAGTGAGCCAGGACCAATCTTGGGTATTTCCTCTCTTTCCCTGTGGTTGGACTGTGAATTCTAAGCTGTTCCCAGGCCTGGTCTCAACTTCCTGAGCCCTTTGCGGGCTCTGTGCCCAGGCCTGTGTAAGGGGCCCAGCCTCACATCTCTTTAGCACGAGGACCAAGCGCCAGACATGTAGGTGGCTTTTCCATGGCACCAACTACTCAAAAACCCTGCTCTCTGAGGTTGTTTTTGGTTGTGTGCGAGAGAGTGTGTGCATGTTTTCATGCCTACACCCTAAAAACATCCTGGCCAAAGGTGCCCAAACTCAATTCTTTTTGGTGTACACACACACACACACACACACACACACACACACACACACACACACACCTCCATCTTGCCTATTTGTTGGCGGGGGGAGTCAGTATTGAGCACTACTCACCTAAGTATGTAAATATCAGTTTTATAATCTCTCTCTCTGACAGTTGTTTTTTTTCCTTGCAGGTTATAAAGAAGGAGACTGGATTTTGGAGGGACTTTGGATTTGGGATGACTTGTCAGTACCGGTCAGACTTCATCAACATAGGTGAGATTAAAGCTTGAGTCTACTGCCACCTGGAGGCCACTGTCCTGCAGGCCTCGAGCAGTCTGCAGGTTCCTCTGGGTAAAGATGCTGCCATTTCCCCAAACAGTACTGCCCCTCTGGTCACAGGCAGCAGCACTTGGGACCTTGTCATATACACCAGTGTCTCTCAGGTGTACCCAGTAACATTAATAGGACAGACACTGTGAGCCCCCAGGAATGAGGAAAAAGAGGAGACTCTGGGAAAAGCACGTGCAAAGAAGACCCATGTTTCACTCTGGTGACCCTTATTTAAAGACCCCATATGTCACTTTAAGCTCTGAGTATGCAGTTGCTGTCAACATGAGCACACATGTTCAAGCATCTCTACACATATAGACACACAGATATGCATGGACACAGAGATGCAGACAGGTATATACACACGTGCTCAATGACACATGTTTGAACACAGACACACATGCACACACAGAGATGTACATGCACACATGTCCACATAGATACAGACATACACACTCACTTATCTATACAGACATGCATACGTTTACATGTACATATACAGAGGCACACACAAAAATGTACACAGGCACACACATACATGTGTGTGCATATAGAAGATTAAATGAACATATTTGCAAATACATATGAGCTTGCCTGAGAACTCAGAAAGGAAAAACCAATGGGTTCCAGCAGAACAGAGCACAGTGCTCAGAGGCACAGGGACCTCCTGAGGCCTCACAGTAAGTGGGAAATGAGGAATAGGCTTGACTCTACACACCTAGGCCAAGAAGGAACAGGTCCCAAACCTTGGCTTGCACTCTGAGGAAGCCCTTCTCTCTGGGAAGCGATGGAGAGACTCCTCCTCAGGCCTCTCAGGTACCTCATCCCTCTCTCCCATTTTGAAAGTAGGTAGCAGAGGCAGGCCCAAGTACATGTTGTTCCATAGATATCACCAGGTTAAAATGAGAATAATGTCAAGCCACCTGGATTTGTGTCGCGGAGGAGGCGGCAGAAGGCCAGGGTGCCGGGTCTTGAGTGGCAGCTACTCTGAAGAGCCAGCAGGTCTTCTGTCCTGTCTCCAGGCAAACATTCCTAGGTGACTATATGCGTATCAGATTCCCAAAAATAATATTCAAATTTTAAAAATAATTCCCATTTCAAAAAACTATTGTTTCCTTGCTTGGTGTGCAGAAGGTGATAATATGTGCCAGGGCTCTTATGTTTATCACGTTTGGATTCGTATTGCATTGGGTTCTGAAGATAGAGGTCACTACATATCTTTCAAGAAGTGAGCACAATGAGATGAAGAGGGTGTTCTTCCTCAGGGGGCCACTGCTGTGACCTCAGAGCTCCTCAGTTGCCTTGGATGCCATTCTTTGCAACGGTGTCCTTATTTGCAAGTGTGTGTGTGTGTGTGTATGTATGTCCCTGGTATTTAATAAGAGATGCTAAGGACAATATTCTAGTTTATTTGGTTACGCTATCTACTTCATTAGAGGTTTTAAAAACACCAAAGGTCAGGCAGGCATCATCATGTAGCCTCATTCTTCTATTCCCTGTATTTAAGAGGCAAAGACAGTAGCAATAAAAACTCAAGGCCCGGACTGTACAGCAAGAGACTGTCTCAGAAAAAAAGAACAACAACAACAACAAAAAACCTTGTCAAGTTCAGTAGCAACTTTGCTAGAAAAAAAAAGGATCTAAATTCTGACTGTCAGCTTGTGATCTCCCTCTTCTTGCTGTCCCCCTACTGCAGGGACACAGTCACTCATAAACCACACCACTCAGGGTTTCTGGTCTTGAGTTTTTCTAGTCTGAACTGGCCCTGACCAGAGCAGTATTAGCTAAGGCATGGGGACAGGGATAAAGAGGCCACATGAGAATGTTTGGGACAGGATACAGTGATAGAAGGAAGCCACGCCCAGACAGAAAATGCAGGGTTTGCCTTGCAAGGTGTCAAGTTCAAAAGGAGGGATGCCCCTGAAGCTCTTAATCCTGGGCCAGAGCTACTCATATGTACTACTGATGGCTCTTTCAAGCAGCCCAATTCTTCGAATCCTGTCCAACAGCCTGTTATGTGATGAAGTTTTTGTGGTCTGCCATGAAGATCATTCCTGTTGGTCATGCCCATCTCAAGTCTATGACACTGGGAACTTGGATAAATGTGCTTCAAATGGCACCTCCCCTGAATACTTCCTCATTGTGTGTATGGGGGCATGGAGTCCAGGGGACAACTTCAAATATCACTCCTCAGGTATCATCCACATTTCTAATTTTGGGACAGTCTCCCATTGGCCTGGAACTTGTCAAGCAGGCTAGGTTGACTGACCAGCAAGGCCCGGTCATTCACCTGTCTCTGCCTCCTTGGTGCTGGACTTGAAAGTGCAAGCCACCATTCAGGTATCCACTCTTGGGTTTTAAAGTTTTTCAATATGTGTTCTTGGGCGGGGGTGGAACTTAGTTCCTCATGCTTACAAAGCCAGTACTCCACCAATCAAGTTATCTCCCTATCCACCTCCCCCTACCCCACCCCCACCCCCCACCATGCTCTTGATGAAAAATCCACGGAGGCCGAGTATGTGCCACACAATTGAGTAGCATGTTCTGTTCCCACAGGTGGATTTGACCTGGACATCAAAGGCTGGGGTGGTGAAGATGTACACCTGTACCGGAAGTATCTCCACAGCAACCTCATAGTGGTACGCACACCTGTGCGGGGACTTTTCCACCTTTGGCATGAGAAGCGCTGTATGGATGAACTGACCCCTGAGCAGTACAAGATGTGCATGCAATCCAAGGCCATGAATGAGGCATCCCACGGGCAGCTGGGGATGCTTGTCTTCCGGCATGAAATAGAGGCTCACCTTCGCAAACAGAAGCAGAAAGCGGGCAGTAAAAAGACATGATCTCCCAGGCACAGATCAGCGAAGACTTCCAGTTGTTTGCCGTTGGCTGTTCTGAAAAAGTAGATGCAATAAGGTATAGACTTCCACAAAGGGTGACCAAGAATCTGATGAGGAGGAGAGATGGAAGTAGAGAGTCTCCGGTTTCTGTTGGCCCTGTGTAGGGTGACAGTGACTGTGTTTACAGCAAAATGATCCCTCTGTCCCTGCTCACCGAAATAGTCACAGCCTCAGACAAGTTCTGTAGAAAGTTCACTAGAAGAGATGCGTGCATCTGGCTTCTCTTCTTAGGAATGATTACATCAGAGGGCCTTGGTATCCAGGACTACCCACATCTCAGAAGGAGCAAAGGACCTGTGAGAAGTGCAGAGATCCGACAGGAGCACCCTCCAGGGGACAATGAGCAAAATCAAAGAGACCTGGAAACAAACTGTCAACACTGTCATCCCCCCAATATTAACCAAAAAATAACCCTCTCGTTTCAGTTATCTTTAGTCACTATTCTAAAAATGCACTTTTTGTTTTGCTTGTATCGTGCTTATTTAATTACCTATTGGCAAGCCTTGGTAGGAGCACATTGTAGTATATACACTTGTACGATTTCTAAGATTTGTTTTTATTTTTTGTTGTTTTTGTTGGTATGTTTATTTGAGACGGTCTGGACACAGAGCCTGAACTAACTTTGAAATCATGGTCCTCCTGCCTCAGCAGCCCGAGTGCTGAAATTACAGGTGTGCACCACCACCACTGGCAAGGAGGCGTGTGAGAGAACCTTCAGGTGCCAACATCTGGGCGCAAATCTGAGGATGTGCCAAACTCAAAGATAAGGCAATGTGTGGAGCTGCCGAGAGAATGGTATATTGAAACTGTCTACGACTATCCGAAGAGGAACAATCAAACACTACAGAAAGGAAAAGACACTGTCATCTCCACCATCAAGGAACACTAAGACCTTGGTATGTTTCCTAGAGAACATGCCTTCTCCTCAGGAGAAATGGGGACCACTTTCTTACCTGTTTGAATAAACCAAAGTTATGAACCAAACTATCGCTTTTCAAAGCAGGGTGCTCTTCCTGGTCTCTGGCTTCCATAAGAAGAAAATGCAGAAAAAAATATATACATATATTTTGTGAAAGACCAGTCCATCAACCCAGCGAGATGGGAAATTTTGCTACATTTTCACTCACTCCTGGCCATGTGGAAACAACTTATTTTTAAAATAAGCAATGTTGCTTGGTTGCCAAGACACTTCTGAAGCTCGCATTTTCTTACAACTTCAAACTCTTTTTTAAAAAAATAAATATGGTTACCATCGAGTGGTTTCTACATCTATGTGCAAATTATTTATTTATTAGCCAGCACCAGATGCATGAGCTAATTACCTCCTCTGTCTCCGTGCCTTCTGTTTGCCCACAGTGAATTCATTGTTTAAACGCTTCAAGAACACTCAAGCTGTGTGTTTAAAAAAAAAAGCATTGTATTGATTTGTACTGGTAGTTTATAAAGTTTAATTAAAACATGAGACATAAATGAAAGGTGGCATTGCACAGCTAATAAAATGTGTGAATGTGATTTCTTCCTGGGATAAGGATGCAGTGTCTTGAGTTTGGGGAGATTCTTTTATGCATAGAGCAGGGCTTTCCAGTGTTAGCGCTGTTGACATTTGGGGCTTGATCACTTAGCAGGGGAGGTGACTGTCCTGTGCAACATTCCTGTAGTCCCTCCACACACTGAATGCCAGGGCCATCTCCCCCTCAGTTTTTGACAACCAGAATGTCTCCAATCATTGTCAAATACTCAAGGAAAGGGAGCATGACTCCTGGTTGAGAACCACCAAGATAGAAGGAAACTTTTGACATTTCACTCATGCTAATTTTTAGTTAGATGAAATTGAAAAATGATTTCTGAAACCCATTTCCACGCTACCTTTGCAATATTCACATACTCCTGTGATTTTAGAGCCTTCAGGGCATGTAACTGTTGCCTCCCAATAGTGGTCCTTATGGATTTGTGACTGACACTTGATATTCTCACCGAGGCAGGGGGATTGCTATCCCACAAGGGTAGAGGCAGCCATCAAATGTTCAGATGTCTCTTGGTGTTGCAGGCCCTGGATGACTCCAGGATAATCAGCATTTAAACTTGTTCGCACCGTATACGTTACAGATGTCTATGATACGGAATAAGAGTTTTGTTTGTTTCTTGAGACAAGGTCTCATTTTGTAGCCCAGGATGGGCTGAAAGTCCCCCTGTTCCCTCTGCCTCAGACCCTCAAGTGCCTTGGTTACAGTTGTGTACAAGCACACCTCACTAAGAATTGATTTCAACAGTTGCTGAGAGGACTAGAAAAAGGCCTCCGTGGGTAACGTGAACTCAGATCCCCTCTGGCCCCAACACTATATGCATGGAAAGCAAAGCTGGGAGAAGCCTGGGGGCCCGTGTCTAGCCAGACTGGCTGAACCAGCATGCTCCAAGTTTCCTGAGAGACCTTCTCTAAAAAACCAAAGTGGAGAGCAGTAGAGGAAGACACACAATGTGTGCACACACGTTGAGGGCCCATAGTGAAGCCCATTATTATGTATGATAACTTGAAAAAAGTCTAATTTCAAATGTCACTGAGGGTAAGTGAAGAGGACAGGAAACAATTTCCTTCATCTTAAAGCTTAGCTTAGCTGCCATTTCAGTCTGAAATGTCTCCTGAAGGCTCATCTGTTACAGATGTGGCTGCCAGTGGATGGGATCTTGGGCAGTGATTGGCTTCTGGGGTCTCTAACTTCATTAGTGGATCTATCCCTCCATGCATTCATCCTTTCATGACATTCCTAATTTGATGGTGACAGGAAGCCAGGAGGTGAGGACTCTGGAGGAAGATCCAGTCCTGGTCCTCTGAACTCTTCCTAGCTCTCCTTACTTCCTGTCCACCTGGGAGGAGATGGAACCCCAAGCTTATGTAAATGAAGGTGGAGGAGGCCCCACTAAACCTAAAAGGGGGCTGGAATTCAAACTTACACAGCAAAGGAAAGTGGAAATGAAACTGAACAACTCAGGCTCATTACCTCTTACAAAGAAAGGACACCACCAGATGCCTGCCTAGTCAAAGGCCTCTTTGGAGACTTACTCTATTCCTGTCCCTGTACCTTGCTTAGTAAGCAGTCCAGTTGCCTTTTAATATACTTGGGGTCCCAACCAAGTACTGCTAATGATGCTGTTGTGGGGGAGCTGTTAGCAGCTCTTCCCAACTCTTTGATGATGACAGATTGAATCTAGAATGAGAATTGACAGTTAATGCTACAGATCAGGCCTCCCAAACTCTAGCCACCACACCTACCTAGCCTTCTGTTAAATATTTGTCAACAAACAATGACTCTCAGTGGCATACGTCACATCCTTGTGCTGGATCTCTCCAATCCTGTGCTTTCCAGCACACATAAGTGTGGACACCTTGCCTTCTTCCACACTAGGTAAGTAGCTCCCAAAATTTTAACTCTTTGTTTCAGGAAAAAAACCCTCTATTATTTTATCTAATCCTACCAGAAAGAAGTCTGAGTCAGGCAAGTCCAGACCTCCATCCTCTGTGTGTGTTCTTCCCACTGTTCCGCTCCTGCAGCCCCACATAAGAAACAAGAAAGAGGAGTGAAGCTTGTTGACCCAGCAGACCAGGAAGAGCCACACAACCCCGCCACCTGCACCTCTCCAACTGCAGAGAGATGAGCCTCAGAGCCAGGCTCTTAAGCAGGACCCCAAAAGGTGAGGTTTAAAGACTCTCAAATAGAAGGTCAGATGGGGGGATCCTCGTGTTTAAAGGGGGACTGACTCTTCCTGGGAGTTGCTGATGAGATCATGACCTTGGGCAGTTTCTTAGGAGGGCAGGTGTGTTTTGCTCCTGTGCCCACTGATGCCTGAGCTCCCGGTGATTACATTCTCGCTAGCTACGTATTATCATTCAAAGCTGTTTCTCCTGGCAAGACTCAGGCTTTGTTGTTACTGCCAAAAAGTTGTGGGGTCTGTGCCAGTTGGTTTGGGGGATTTGGTTTTTCCCCAACACACAGAATATGTTATTTCCTGTCCACAGAGATACCTTTTAAAATGCCTCTGCTTTGCTTAGCCTTTGAAGGTTCCCTCTGCAGAAGTCAATCCCAGCATCCCCCGGGGCTTATCTTTTGGCAGTTCTAGTAAGAAAGAGGACAGGGATCCTGAAACAGGTAATAGGAAAGGAGGACATAGTGAATGTCACAGTCTGGGAGGGCAGGACACCAGTGGAGAGAAGCCAGGCCATGTTCCTCCCTTCACTGTTTCCCCAACATTTGTCAAGAGCCAGTGGGGGTTCTCTGCTAGAACTAACCGAATGTCTAGGAGTCTGGTGTGGGTGGTTAGGAGACCCGAATTTATTCCCTGTTCTGCCACCACACTTGTGCACACTGAGGTGTGCCCAGTGCTCCTGGTAGCTCCTCCCCCCCACCCCCTGTCTCGGATCTTAGTCCGTTTAACGTCCACATCTACCACCAATCTCAGCCTCCAACCCATGTTGAAAACCTGCAAGAAGATCTTTCTCCACTGAGGTCTTAAAGACATTTTAAATGAATCTAACTGTTTGAAATACAGACAAAAAAATAGTATATCACCCAAATTAAATTTAAAACCTGAGGATATTTTTTAATTTCTCTTTTTTATCCCCTGGAACAACTCTCACATAAAGTTGAGCCATATAAAGACGACGTCCACAGTATGGAGGGCTGTCAGAAACAGCCAGAATGGCCTGGGTGAGACGCTGTGTAAGACTCCTTCACACCATTGAGAAAGACCCCCAAGGAGAAGAAGGCATTGCCACTTTGGTTGTTGTGACCCAGTGCTGGAGTGGGGGTGTTACTGGGATTTTTGACTTGCTGGGGAGTCTTCAGAATGGAACAACCTTCCCACTGAGGAAAACGCACAACTGACTTAGATGGACATGTGCACTGGGCCTAATCTGCACCACTAGCGTAGGGTAGACAGGCAGAGGAGGTTCCAAATTCATACGTCTTCTCCTCGAAAAGGAGATGTTAACTTGGAGATTATGATTAGGCATGTCTTGGCCACTGAGTCAATTTGACAACTGCCAACTTAGAGACAAAAGATGGTTACTGCTAACCTCAGGGTTGTCAAAACCACTAGGAAATGACCCTCCCCTCCCTTGCCATTTCAATCCCAAGCTAACTGGTCCATTTCGCTTTAGGTCAACTAGCTAGCATTCTGTCTAGATCATTATTATATCCTCAACAGTTCAAAAACGTCCCTTGTACCCTTAAAATAGTTCCCCAGATTCCAGGAAACTGGCCATCATGCTGCATGGCCCAGTTGGTTGTAGAAGCCGGCTTCATGAAGGAACACTCACAGCGAGTGGTACACTTAGGAGGCTTTCACTATGCGGGGCACTTGACGTCACTCTTTTCTAATCTTCAGAACCCAGGCGACTTCGGTAACTCATTTTAGAAGGTAAAACTCATGCAGGTTCAGCTTTTTTTCCTTTTTATGATTCCACATGACTAATCGATGATCTAGGCAGGACACAGTCCTAAGCCCACTGCAGGGCTTTCTTACTGCTATGTCAAGCTGCTTCATTATCCAATTATGTATGTGTACATATATCTTGGTCAATCGTTGTTGTTGGGGGTTTTTTTTGTTCTTTTTTTTTTTTCATACAGGGTTTCTCTGTGTAGTTTTGGTGCCTGTCCTGGAACTCTCTCTGTAGACCAGGCTGGCCTCGAACTCACAAAGATCCACCTGGCTCTGCCTCCCAAGTGCTGGGATTAAAGGTGTGGGCCACCGCCCTGCTCTGTGGAGTGGTCACATAGAACACAGAATTAACATGTCAGTGTTACTGTGGAGTGATCACATAGAAAACAGAATTAACATGTCAGTGTTACTGTGGAGTGATCACATAGAACACAGAATTAACATGTCTGTGTTACTGTGGAGTGGTCACATAGAACACGGAATTAACATGTCTGTGTTACTGTGGAGTGGTCACATAGAACACGGAATT